ATAGATAATATTGAGTACTATAGTAGTGTTATTGATGAAAATTCGCAACAATTTTTGATAAATTTTGTCCTGAAAACTAGATTGTCATCAGTAGAAAAGTTTTATTTAAAGTCGAATTATGATAACGTTGATAGTTTGATTACGGACATGAAAAGATGTCTTCTGCCGAAAAAGTGTCCAACCAATATTCAAATAAAATTAATTAATTGTAGGCAAGGAACTAGGTCTATTAAAGCGTATGGTTCAGAGATAGATAAATTATTATACGAGTTAACGTTAGCACAGTCGGAAAATGATAAAACGAAATATAAAATACTGCATCCTATAAATGAAAAGTTAGCTATTAGATGTTTTTCAGCCGGACTGAATAATAGTCGTATTAGTTTAATATTGATTGCTAGAAATTTTAAATATTTAAAAGATGCTATACAAGCAGCGTTAGATGAGAATTGTATTTTATATAGTAGCCAAAATAATTGGTATAATCATAATAATGTGTTTAAATTGAGTAATAATTCTCAAGATATAAAGAATAATAAAGTTATGAATCATTTAAATGATTCGAGAAAGCTAACTAGGTCAGATTTAGATTTTAGAGTATCACATGATAAGGAAACTCGCTATGTAGCTGAAGAGAGCAGCTCTTCATGCAAGTCTTTTACAGATTTAGATAATTTGATCAAGAGTGATAGAAGTTTAAACTTAAAGTTAGATGAAGAGATTTTTCATATAGATGAGAACTATTTTGATATAGCAAATAGAAATATTTTTTCTTTGGAGGATATTAAGAAAAAACCAATTAAAAATAAAAGTAAAATCGAGAATTTTAAAGTAGGCAAGAAATGTGCGCCTGTAGAACAAGTTTAATGAAAAAACGAATTATTATGTAGATATATGCATCAAGGATGTATTTGATAAGGACATTAAGGATAAAAAATGTATTTTTTCTAGAAAAGGACTATGTGTTTATGTGCCAATAAAATCAGCCATGTTTATTAAAACCTCGTCGCTTTTCGAAGGGAAAAGATTTATTAAAGATTTTGAGGTATTTTGTCGAGATATAAATGTTAAAGGCTTGATTATTGATGAGAAATGGTTTGCGAATTTGCAGAATCTAATAAATAAGTATAAAGTGGTCCTACCAAACTTAATAGTGAAATGTCCGAAAGAAATAATTAATAGAAATTATTATAACAGTAAATGTGAAGGAAGTTATAATGAAAGTATAATAAATAAAACCGAAAATAATTCGGATGACTTTGTTGAATTCCCGGAAGGTAAAAATATAGACATAAAAGGGAATTATTTCGAACAAATGTTTGTAGATGAAAGATACGATAGAAATGCAATAGGCATTACTTAGAAATAGATAGTTTAATATTTGATTAATTAATGATTTTGATAGTATGTGATTTGGGTTTATTTGATTCATTAAAAATTGTAATGGTAATTGGTAATTAAATGTCAAAAAATATGTTTATATAAAGTTAAACATTACTAAAATCGATAATCTATAAGTTATGTAATATTTTCATATGTCAGCAAGGTCGCGGTAGTGAACATGATTTAATTCCAAAGTCAGCATAATAATTGTGTACGCGCATAAATGTTAATTTAATTGTTAATTTTCAAAAGTCAATGTTCTTTCATAGTTTGTTATTGTTTATCTAATGATAAGAATTTCTTTTTTTGTTGAAATTGTTATTTATAAAATCGGGATTCTTTAATAATGGAGGCGCGCCAAGACGCAACGATAGGAGAATTATCCGAGTTATGTTATACAAGTATATGGTAGTTTAATGTATTTTGCTATAGATTTTTTATGAAGTGAGCTGAATGATTTTTTTATATTAATTGAAGTTTATATAAATATTAAATGTGTGTTCCTGTTAAGTTTCTTAATTATAGTGATACGTGAAAAGTTGTGTAATAGTAGTTTTAAACTAAGAAGGATCTTTTCAGGGGAGGGACACCTAACCTTTTCAGGGGAGGTGTAGTATGTGAATATTAAGAATCAAGTTATAAACGTGATCTCGATGGAATGCACTAATATGCAAATAATTCACGTTCGATAAATGTGCTTCCTTAGCAGTTACATATCACGTACCCTAATATTCCCCTCTTAGATTTAAGTAGTATATAAGACGAATATTGTTTAGTTAATTAGGAGATCTACAACCTGAAATATAGTATCATTTCTCCCGACCACGCTGACGCCACTCGTCCGCGGCAATGAAGGCTGGCACATTCTCCCTCAACTAGCTTGGGTTCTTTTCGCCTTATGGGATAGCTGAAAAACCCAATCCTTATTGTGAAATATGAACTTATGTACGTATCAGATAGGGGTTTCATCACGGACTTTAAAATGTCACTCTGTTGACATGGAGAAATGGAGTGAAGTGACACCTTCATATGAAACTCCCTACAATACCATCACATTAGCCGGATGATGAGTGCGCGAGATATTCCGTGAAAAAGCTGGGACAACTTTGCTACTTTTAGCATACACTTTATTGTTTTGTCAGTTGAACTTTTCTTCGACAGTCAAAAATTTCTTGTCGGTGAAGAGTATCTTCCTGGCATCATGTATTCTCAGCAGCAATGGACAACGTTCGCGTCATAACTTACGAAGACGACCGTTTAAAATGTGAACTTTTCTACAGCTATAGGCGTTTACCTTAAGATCATATTTCAGTATTCTGTTCACTGAAACGCGCGAAATATTTTTCTGCATAGCGAGTTTCTTTTGAGTGCGACATGGAATTTGGCGAAGTCACTCTCGGATGATTTTGATGTTCGCAGGCGTTCTCATAGCCTCCTGACTGTATGAGGTTTTTTTTTCAATTTCGCCATGTAATTTAGATATATTACTATTATAGAACCTTATATAGTGTCAAAAATATTTAAAAAAATGTCCTATACCTAACTTAGGAGATTGCCTTTTATATATTAAAAACCATATATTCATATTTAATAAAATACTGAAACTATTTTGGACTTACGATAACATATTTATTATTTTAAATACTTATTTAAAAGTTTGTCTCATTGACTTTAACAAAATAATATAAAAGCCTAATTCGTGGCAACAACTTCAATTGGTATAAAATTATCTATGTATGATGCTAATATAAATCAATGTTATAGTTATACCTCCATTATTGATTTGTACTTATAATCAAAATAAAATTATATAAAAAATACTAAGTCATTTTAACATGCTTTTTGCTGTCTTCTTCTTTGCTGTTATTAAAGGTAAAGGCACTATAGTGGTTATTAAAGGTAAAGGCAGCATAAAAACCGAAGGTGCAGCATAAAAACTATAGTGACCTTCGGTTTTTATGCTGCGGCAATAGTTCGTCAACCTCATTTTGGCCACTCTCTCTTTCATTGCTTTCATCATTATCCTCTGTCTTAGAAATCTCTCAATTTTAAAATTTCCGAAAGCTTTTTCCTACTAGATAACTTTTCTGGGAACTGTTACCGACTAACCGATATCCAAATTAAATAAATGAGATATGACAATAGGTAGTCATAGATTATTAGATTACAGAAGGCACAGTACAAATATATAAGTAGGTGCACTCGAGATCCGAGCGAGAGATAATAGCCTAAACATGTAAGGCTGTCGCTTATAGGTTATTCAATCGTCAGAAATGCATAGTCAATAAATCTCTAAAAAGATACAAATAATATATATTACTACGTATTATTTTCGCAATTAAAGAAATGAAAGAAATGAAAAGTAGCTGAATATTTTTTTTATTAACATTCTATGAGTAGTACGAGAGCAATCAGGAGGATAGGGCGAGGCCGACCACTGGGATCTTGCAGGGAACTTGTCACTTTGTACCGCTGTATTTTGTAATAGACGAAGTCACGGCTTACAGGAAAACTTTTCGGCTCGCGAAATATCTGCATCGGTTTTTTTCCCGCCTTAAATAGCGAAATGACAGTTGCACATTTCGCTATTTAATAATTAATTTGTTCGTTCCCTCCATCACGAGACAATATAAACAAATTAATTTTCGATAAAAAATTAACTAAAAGTTAGCTTTCCAAATTCAAAATCAGTAAAAAAATTACAGCCAGTAACATTAATTTTATTCTTTCAGTAAAAAGTTTGTCTCAAAACTTATGAACACATCTATACTAATATTATAAAGCTGAAGAATTTGTTTGTATGAACGCGCTAATCTCAGGAACTACTGGTTCGAATTGAAAAATTCTTTTTGTGTTGAATAGATCATTTATCGAGGAAGGCTTTAGGCTATATAATATCACGTTGCCACTATTAGGAGCGAAGAAATAATGGAAAACGCGGACGAAGTCGCTGGAGGCCACTAGTGATGTTTAATATCAATTATTACTATTATCAGTATGTTAATTCGAGAGATTTTAATTATCCCTTTTTTTTAATATTGTAATAAGAACAACAAAATAAAATCATAAAAAACAAATGATACTTCTAGAGGCCTTTTATAATGACCCAATTTTATAAGGCGGGTAAGTTGGAGAAAAGCAGCTAGTATTAAATAAAACTGAGCTGCATTATTTTTCTTTACTATACAGTATATTTAATCAAATAAAATATTGTAATTTATTTTATAGACAGGTATAAAATGCATTCTACTGACGTTGAAATGAAGCTGTAAATGGAAATAGTGAAGTTCATTACCGGCATATTGTTTAATCAAGTTAATCGAAACAAAAGGAATATAATCCAACGTCTTTTTTATCTTGGAACATCACAGAAAATTTAATAAAGATCCAGATGGTTAAATAAATATTTAAAGTAGAAAAAGTGCAGTAAAATGAATTCTTTCTTTTCCGATTTAAAACTGTTTCATTAGTATTGTTTATAAGGATCGCTTGAGTTTTAAATATCTTAAGCCAATAATGCTATAGGATTTTTTTATAAAAGTAATGTTAGAAGGTTTTTTTAAGCAATATAGTAAAAAAGTACAGTTTCATAATATTATAATTATTTCATTTTTATTTTAGAGCTCATCGGCTAATTTGTGTACATACAAGTAAGAATGACCATCGGGTAAGTCAATATTAAACTTGGCAGCAGCAGACAAACAATCTTCCTCCGTGGTCGGTATCTCGTCGATCCTCGCAAGGGCGTACGCAGTAAGATCTTCACAACACATCATGCCTATATAACGGTCTACCAATTTCAGGCGTACATCAGCTAACTTAATCAACGGCAAAGGATTTGGACGCACTGAAACAATAAAAACTGATTATCTATATCTATAGTGATATTAAAAAGAGGAAAGTTTTGATCGTTTTTTGTTTGCATTGAATAAGGTCCTATTAAATAGGACCTATTTAAAAAAATTAACAACTACGGGAAACTACATCACACGTGGGTAATATAGGCTATAATTTACGCAGGTGTACTCGCGGGGGAACAGCTAGTTCGAAATTAAATTGCGAGCTTGCCCGCTTCTTCGCGCGGTTCGGTTTCATAATATTTGGAGAGTGAGCGCCGAGCAAATGTGCTTCACACGGCATGGGCTATATGTAATTGACGCTTTTGCTTTTCCTGTTGTGATATTTGTGAATCTTTTGTTTATATTGAATAATAGCATCGTCTCGCATATCTTTTCTAAGTCTGATAGAGGCAATTATTCTGCCTTAAAAATAAATGTTTGACATAAAAATATTCCTTAATATAACCTAATTTTAACTATAATTTAAGGCAGGTGTAGCCGACGCAGGTCTCGCATTAAATATAGTCCCGAATAACAAAGAAAATGTAGTAAAACGTAGTTTTTTGAAGGGAAAAATGTATTGACTTTGAAAAATAGTATACAAATTGACAACTAGAAAACAAAAAAAAAACCTGAGACGTCATTCGAACTCGTGCTATTAACCCTCTATGCTATATTTTTTTTTTAAATACATTGAAATACTCGAGTCGCTAACAGTAGGGGTTTTAACTATATATACTTATAAAAAATATAGGGGTAATATTTAAGATTGACGAATTAAATAATATTGTAAGCTTTTGTATAAAGATAATAACACCCTATCTAATGTTTTCCCTGCTCATGAAGCTTTATTCGTGTCGTGTTGTCGGTTAGGGACAGGATTAATATTTACTTTCCATCATCATAATATATATTAGACAGTAGTGAGGGAATAAAAAACTTTTATACGTGTTACACGGGCTGATACTTAAAAAACTCTAATTATTAGGTTCAAATATATTATAACTAGCTTTTGCCAGCGACTTCATCTGTGTGGTATAGTTATTTTGAACAGCATTTCTAAAACGAATATTTATTCAATATATCATTTAAAAGACCCGAAATATAGTTTTATTCCGTGCAATCTATTTATGAATGAATAGGCTAACAACACGTCCGATCACAAATCGGACGTGTTGTTAACCTGTTTAACCGGAGTGCTTAAACGCACTGCAATCCTCCACCCACTCCCATACAGGAGATGCAACAGGAAGAGGATCCACCAGAAATAGTTTCGACGCCTGAAATCCAACACTGGATGAAGAGCATCGAACAATGTCTCAATGAGGTATGTGCTGTTTCATCAGAGGGAAAATTGATCACAGAGCAAAAATTGAGTATACTAATACCCTATCTGTATACCAAATTTCATCAAAATCCGTTCAGTAGTTCTACAGTGCGGCTGTACAAAGCCCAGGGAACTGGTTAATTGTCAAAGATCACTATACGATACACAATTATTAATTTTATTAACAGCAAATATTTGTAAAAATATTTCATTCGGCTGTTTGGGTGAATTGCCTGAACATTGATGAAAATAGTCCTGTTAGGTCCTGGATAGCTCAGTGGTTAGAGTAGTTGCCCGGATTACGAAAGGTCTGGATTCGAGTCCCATCAAAGTGGATTTTTTAAGCAATTTCATTAAGAATGTTTTTCAATATAGCATTGTGAATGCAAAATTGATCAAATATAATTAGAACAAATTTTCATCTTTATCGATAGTTTAAATATTTGTAAAAATATTTCTTTCTGTTAGTTGGGTGGATTGCTTAAACATTGATGAAAATACGCTTTGTAATAGCGAAAAAGTAAGTGCTTGTAAATTCCTCAGTCCTGTTAGGTACTGGGTAGCTCAATGATGAGAGCAGTCGATTACGGAAATACGGCGATTCTAACGTCAAACGGTGAAATACATATTTCGAAACATTTTTGTTTTCATAAAACCCACTCTTAACTATCATTCCTACCTCAAGCATATTTGAAGTTACGTGTGATAAAGCTTTTGAAATAAATTGTAATATTAAATGGGGAAAGTAACGACTGAAATTGTTACAGTCATTAGCAAGCGGTGTAAAAAAGTTGCTTGAAATGAAACCTGTTTATTGTAAGTCAGACTGTGAAAGTTAGGTGCGGAAATGATGTTGGGAAAAGCGACTGCGCATTTAGGCCTGCTTGCTCCTATTTATACCTGCTTGTGATAAAAATGTAGAAAAATGTCTTGCCAGTAATTTGTAAGCTCTCACTGATAATATATCGTTTGTTACACAATATGCTTGTGGACGGTGAAAGATGTGTTTTACTTTTCACGGAGCTTTATATTTTATTTAATAATGAATTTATCAGTTTACTGGCTGTTTTCCCGCGATTTGTTCGCATAACTAATAGTCTATTATATCCTTGTATGAAGTAGCTTCCTGCAGGTGACAAAAATTTTAAGATCGAATCAGTATTTCTGGAGTTTAGAAACTGTAATAGTTATATACGAGTAATTAGTGGATAATAATAATAATTTATCTCATTATCTCAGATTTGGCTTAAACAACGAAACAGAAGCAAATTAGAGCATTGAAAGAGACATTATTATTTATTTAATCAAATTTTTTACAATATCTAGCGATTATATTGAAATTGTTCTTGCCAGCTCTCGACTCTAATGTGTCTTATTATTGTCTATCTATCGATATTCACAGGACATAATAAATTTGTTTAGAAATAAGAATTGCAATAGGTATAACATTATAATTTCAAGAATACTTTAATTATAGATCCTTGTTTTAAATTTTGTTTTGTTTTTTTTTTTACAATTATTTTTATTTCGATTTGTTTTAGATGACCCTAATAATAGGAGTTAAAGTATGAAATTGTCGATTTGTACCGAAAATCAAAATTGTATATTTTCGAAATCGAAGTTTTCATCACGAAAGCGTTTAAACCTAAATAGTACGGTGCAGTTCATTAGCAGACCGCTCTCCAAACGCAACATTGATATTGCGGGGTATTTCTGGCGCGTTCCTTCCGCGTCAGAACTCGTATTCAAAAATCACTAGAATTTTCGTAGTATGCACCTTTCTTGTCTAAGTTGAATAACAAAAATAATTCAAAGTTGATATTCAAATATTTCATATTTTTTTTAAAAGAAAAGCATCATAGAAACAATGTGAAAAAATTTCTAACCTTAAATCATGAAGATTCTACGTAAATTCAAGGAACCTATTACAATAAAACGGCAATTTCATACTTTGACCCCTAATATTAATTAAACGTTTGTTATAAGTAATATGCGTTCTGATGCTTCTTGTAAAACGCTAGTAAACCTTCACCCTTCGTCACTCACGTAGCCTCTATTTTTTGATAAGCCTCTTTATAATAAAAGCTTTACTATGTATGTGTACGGTGTGTGTATCAAACCTTTTGTATAGCGTTCTAATATGACGACAGCTCGAAACGCTCCGGGGGTAGTCGCATAAAGGAATAACACAGTAAGACCTTTACGGGGCTGCATTATAAGAGTAATCTTATGCCACTCCAAATCCAATGTAGGATCTACTGTTTCCACTAATATTTTCAGTCTATTAACCCTCTGAAACAAATTTGAATATGTAGTGAAAATTAATTTTTAAATGTTAATGAAAAAAAATATTTTACGAAAATAAACCCATGTTTAATAAAGCTTAAACAAGTAAAAAATATCCTACAAAAAACGGGCAGTTAATACATATTAATAACCTATATAAAATCTCTGCCCGATTTTAATAGAAATTTCACATAAAGCATTTATAAATGTACACAACATAACATACATAGGAAATCAATGAACCCGATTTTCTTGACTAACACTTAGTCACGGCTCAAAACCCGGCGATGTTTTTTTTTATATAAATTTTAATGGTACAATTTAGATGACAATGTAGTTGCTGGGTTAGAGCCAATTTAATTGCGTTTTGGTGTACTGACCTTAGGAAGAAAGATTTAAACGGTGATACGAAGTATACCGGGTCATATAGTTTTAAATTAAAATACATAAGTCGAACTTAGAACCATCTTCTACTCTTTGGTTTTGAAGTCAGTTAAAATATTTATATGTTCTTTTTTGTATCATAGAAAATCACATCACTTCTGCCTACTATATTATTAATTCTAATACTCTTTAAACTAGTTTTCCTACATAGATATATATATACTTTACTCTTCGTGGCGTAGGTATAATAAACATGTTTATTATTACAAAAAAGGCACCCAATGTTTTTTTTATGGGATGAGACGAGCAGGCGGGTCACCTGATGGTAAGTGATTACCGTCGCCCATGGACACCTGCAACACCAACGGGGCTACAAGCGCGCTGCCGGCTTTTGAGGGACGAATATGATCATAGGGAGGGAAGGGTTGAGGGGGTAGAGAGAAGGGAATAGGGAGGGGTTGGGCCTCGGGTACCCTCACTCAAACGACGAAACACAACGCAAGCGTTCCTTCACGTCGGTTTTCTGTGAGGCCGTGGTATCTATCACTCCAGCGAGCTGGCCTATTCATGCCGAAGCGTGGCTCTCCCACGGGATTTTTTTTTATCTCTTAATAATATCTTTTAGTTCAGTTATACACATTAGAATTGATAAGTAATTTAATTAAACTTTTATAATTTTATAAGCTCCGCTTAACCTTAATGATTTTTTCATTCGTGTTATTAATTTAAAACGTTGTGAATGGCTGATGCTTAAGATACATTAGTATAATAGAAATATTATTATATAAGTTTTGAGACGAAATAAAAGTCGCATACTTATATTTCTAAAATTTTCAGTAACTATTAAATAGATAATCAATAATCAACAATAAAATAAATATTTTATTCAAAATGACCAATAATGACAATTGTTTTTATTAATTACCCTTAGACGATTTGGACAGCCATCAATGGCGGCACGAATCTATTCTAGCGAAATTCGTTTAGCTTTTTAAACAAGGGTTCGCTTTAGTGACTCCAAGTTTGGGTGGGACTTTCGGCAGGCCCCGAGTTCTAATTCAGTCTATATAGAATAATCCAGCGGGTTGAGTTCGGGGCTGGAGGAAGGCCGCTCGTCCGTTGCGATGAAGGCCGGCACATTCTCCCTTAACCAAGCTTGGGTTCTTTTTGCCTTATCGGATGACGCTGAGTCTTGCTGAAATACCCAATCCTTATTGTGGAATAACGTATCAGACAGGGGTTTCACCACGGGCTCTTAAATGTCACCTGATAATTCTTGACTTTCACCTTGACGCCTTGTTGGCAGAAATGGAGTGGACGTTCCGTGCAGATACTGGGACATCCTTGCTACTTTTAGTGCACACTTTATTGTTTTGTCGGGTGAACTTTTCTTCGACAGTTAAAATTTTCTCGTCGGTGAAAAGTATCTTCCTGGTATCATGTCTCCTCAGCAGCAATTGACAACTTACAAAGACGGTCATTTAAAAAGTGCACTTTTCAACGGCTATAAGCCTCTACCCTAAGATCATATTTAAGAATTCTGTTTATTGAAACGCGCGAAATATTAGTCTGCAGAGCGAGTTTCTTCTGAGTGCGATATGGATTTTGGTAATGTCGCTTTCGGATGATTTAGATGTTCGCAGGCGTACTAACAGAGCGTGGCCACTCCTTTGGCGATCTTGCAGAGAACTTGTCTTCTTGTACCTCTGTATTGTGTAATAGACGAAGTTATGGCTTATAGGAAAACTTTTCCGCTCGCGGAAAATCTGCACCGGTTTTTTTCCCGCTTTAAATAGCGAAATGACAGTTGCACGTAATTGTTTCTTTCCCTCGATTATGAGAAAATATAAACAAATAAATTTCGGAATCACAATCGATAAAAAAATAACAGCCAGTAATACGAGTATTTTATTTTATTTTTTCAGTAAAAAGTTTGTCTTAATACTTATTAGGTAGTTCTTACGAGGTAGAAACTAGACAGTGAAAAGAAATTAAATTTTATCGATTTAAATATTTCAATAATTTAACGAATCCGTAGAGGTAGAATATTGCAAAAAGAAATAAACCTTATAACTAATATTCAAACTTGAATATATGCCTTTTTAACTAACTTCAAATTCAAAAAGGAGGACGATATACAATATATTCGACGGCGATGTTATTCTTTTTTTTATGTATGTTCACCAATATTTCCGCCAATTGTTAATCGATATTCAATTTTTTTTTATTCGACAGCTTAATGAACCGACGTAGTTCCATTAAAATTTTATCAAAATCGAACCGGTACTTTTCCTTTTACAATTAAGTAACAGAGTTAGATTACACAGACCTTTTCATTTAAACTTTCTTTCGTTTCTTTTTCTAGTTAATAAATATACCACAATATTTCAATGTTAAATAACGATAAATAACACGTTTACTTACATTTTTTGCTGGCAAGGAAAATATTATGGGAGTGATTTCAGTTGTATTAGCCCAGGAGTAAAATATTTTCCACATGGAGTCCATAATTTCGTATGGGTTGAATCGAGCACCGAGTTCGAATTCTTCACAATTGGTTATTTTATTTGCAACTGCAGGTATTATCCCGTACAATGCACCCAACAGAACAATTTCCACTATACGAGACCACGCGAACATTCTCAGCTCGTGCATTCATTAGAGTATCAAATTGTTTATAAGCACTGTTTATATAGGTATGCATTGTCGTGCAGAAACGTCAAACTTTCAGAGACAGACAGTATGCAATTAATTAATTATTTATCATAATCACTCCCAATATAACAATGTCTATTATATACATTCGTAATACTAATTCTCTTGTATTAGAAAGAATCGTCAAAACGGCTTTACTCGGTTATCACATTACTTACATTTAGTTGGTAAATGTGTGTACTTTCAAACCGTGAATTCATCACTTTTACCGGTTGTTATATATATTTCAACTAACTTCCATAATAGTTATAAAATAAAAAAGAAAAGTTTTCTTTTATCAGTAAATATTCCATAAAAGTTATAACTTAGATCGGAGTTTAAAAATATTCAAAGTAATTATGGAGTCGTAAGTTCGTTATAGACTTAGCGTGATGTTTACTTTTCAAAATCCTTCTCCAAAAGCTTAATGAATTTGTTAATAGCGATTGATAATAGTCAATAATTTTCAATCAATAAAATTTCTACTAACATATATTATTCAATATAGCCTGCATGTGAAGGGGTGTTGTGATCATGGCTATACAATTAGAAGGTTGGGAAGGTATCTTGTGTTCTACGAGAATCCCGCAGCCAAGATACCTGTTAATAAATCAGTGTGCCTTCATAATAAATGATTAATGTACGCAATTAGCATATGCAAGCTGGATGAGGGTTTATTACATCCACTTATAAGGTATATTACATAACATCATTGTGGTCTATCCATTATTAAGCAAATGTGAATGGGTAATAATCGTTAATATTTTTTATCTCACTCTATGAGGACAAAAGATTATATCCTTTTTATGTTTCAAAATGGCAGGTACGCAAATAATGGACCATAAAAGAGCTTGCCAGTCTGTGATGTTATCGAATCTATGTTTATTTTTATTGCGACATATTCAGGAATTCATAACAGTCGAATATTCGTTGTGATTCTGTAATGGAAAAATAATAACTGTATGATAAAATGGAGATGATGTTTTGTTATATACGTGCCAGTGTTTGGGAATATAAAAAAGCAAATTTGCAAATGGATTCATGAAAACGTGATTAAATTTAAAAAAGCATTTTGTCTCTGGCACTTTGAGACGGGACTTGGACCCTTGACCTTTCGCAATCCGGGCGACTGCTCTAACCACTGAGCTACCCAGGATCTGATAGGACTAACGAATTCGTTGTTTTATATTATATAAATTTGTTACTTTTTCGCTATTACGGAGCGTATTTTCATCAATGTTCAGGCAATCAATCCAAACAGCCGAAATATTTATACAAATATTTAAATTTTCGATAAAGATTTTTTCTTCTAATTATTATATTTTATCAATTTTGCATTCACAATGCTATGGTGAAAATTTCTTTCGGCTGATTGGGTTACCTGAACATTGATGAAAATATTCTGTTGATAGCAAAAAAGTAACAAGTGCTAGAAAAATTCTGCAGTCCTGTTAGATCCTGTGTGGCTCAGCGGCTAACGCGATCAGTCGCCCGGATTCGAGTCCCATCTCAGAGTACCTGAGGCTAGTGGATTTTTGAAGCATTTATCATCAAGCGAAGCATTTATCATCAAGAATAAATCTTAATTCATAAAACCAACAATTATATTCATGTAATTAAAAATAGTCTATATTATATTTAATTAAATAAACATTTGCGCTCGTTTTTCAATTAGACACGTCCTATTTGACTATGGTAAAAGATGAAAATGTTACACATTTAAAACACAAATGTTGAATCAAAAATATATTATTTTAATATCGGAAATTTATTAGAAATTCAGAGACCCCGTCCATCGATCCTAAATCAAATACCACAGATACCTACCGTTTCCAAGTTCTATATTATATAAATTCATTGTCATAGAGCATAGAGCTGGGAGATTTTATTCGTCGTTTGGCTCTGTATTTATCGCCGGTGGATCTGAACAGTCGAATAGCAGGGGTGGCAGTTACTACAAATAGAAATTACTAGTATAAGAATCTATCTTGGAAATACATTATTTTTACCTTTAAATCTCAAATCTCACAGCAAATCCCAATGCGCCAATTTTAGGCAGACTAATTTATTAAAGCATCTCTCTTACCCTCACAATAGGTTTTACTTTTTCTGTGCTCTTTCCTAATTAAATATCCTCGATCTCACCTGCTTCTTTTTTTACGCACTTTTGATTTCGTGATTTTTCCAATATATAGGATACGTACCTTCTATAAAAAAATATATTTGCTTTTATTGCTCAAATATAATAATAAGAAAAAAAAATCATCTTAAACGAAAGTTTAAATATTTGTAAAAATACTTCTGCTAGTTGGGTGGATTGCTTGAACATTGGTCCTGGGTCTGGGTCCAGTCGCCCGGAATGCGAAAGGTTGTGGGTTCGAGTCCCATCTCAGGGTCCCAGGAACAAAGTGGATTTTTGAAGTATTTATCATTAACTATAAATTACTTACCATTTTATAATCTATAGACTATAGATCTCAATAGTTTAGGAAATCAGCGGGACAGATGATATATTTCAGTTTATTTTCTTATAACTTCAATTTTTTTATTATTTAATCATTATTGCCAAATTACAGCATATGGCGGACTTAAAAGTATAAAATATATATTAATTGCTCGGTCCTGCAGGGGAATAATTTCAAATTCTACAAAGAAAGACATTTACAAACTTCACGTTTCAACTAGGTATTTGATATGTGACAATGATGTTGTTTAGGAAAATATTGAGTGAACAATATCGTTAATGGAATTAGAATTGTAAGGCAAGTGATAGACGGAAATGTCTTTGGAAGCTATTGAGAATGTCAAAGAAAGAGTTGTATACTAATCGTAACTGCAATCTTTCGACAGGTTTAGTTAAGTTTATATTATGTCTTGATCATTCAAAAGCTATTGCAACTTTAAACATTACATTATTCCATAAATCGATATCACAATCTCCTATCCTTATATCTTTGAATGGGATTGTGATAAACTTTGAATACAGCAGTGTATTGAACAGCGAATTACGCAACTGACTGATCTCAAGGGTTTCGTTTATCCATTTATAGTAAGGAACCCTAAAAATGTAACCTTATATCCTTTTTCTAGCGGTCATCTGTTTATAAAGATCATTTTTGTCATGAACAAACAAAGGTATCAAATTGAAATTGATATCAATTATTCAGCCCCGTTATCCTCTGGAGCTGTAAACATCATTATTTCTTAAATCAACACAATAGGAAAATACGATGTTTATACCGCATTTAAAAAAATAAAAACCTATATTATTTATTTATCGAAAAAAATCAAAAATAATGTTTAATTCTAGTAATGTTTACGTAATAATTGCATCCCAATAGAATCTCAACAACTTGCATTTTACTATTGTTCTACTTACCTAAAGTCCAATATTATTAGTGCTATGTCTTCCTCACAAATCAACGGTGACAGATATGTAGTGGCCATTGAAGACAATCACCCAGTTGCATAAATGTCCATTAAAATCGTTATTACTTGAAAGCGACATTACCGATACAAATATTTCATATTTAGAACATTCATTATAGTTAAATCTTAAAGCTATCGTTAAAGCTTAATGGACGTTTGTGCAAATACAATTAGGGTTAAAAATGTTTCATTATTTTTATTGCCAAATAAAGTTTAATACTGTTAGAGTTAAGAACTTTGATAAGAATGTACGTTACGTCGTCAACCCTACAGGATAGATACCCAGTAGTGGTGCAATTCGCGCAGCGTCTCTTCGGGGTACGGTGTAAGGTCGTAAACCTTGTCGCAGCCGTGTGCATTACTACACCTTCGTTACATTTGAGTTTGAATTATTTTATTTGTAATATTCCAAAATTAAATAATGAATGTTAAAGTCAGTGTTACAAAAGCAAGCACTGCGAATGCGACTTTAACAATTTAACAATATTTTTCATATTCACCCAGATATAAGATACGCTAAAAAGCGTAGAGTTGAAATTACATATCGTGTTGAATAATATTTTTGCAATAAAATAGTGTAGTTTTGTTGGTTATGTATATAGGTAATAATGTTATTCCGTATGGACGTTCATAGCATTTACTGTCGGTTGCAAAAACATCCATTAAAAATTTCATTATTTTAAAGCTACTTTAACCATGAAATTTGTCATTTATTAGAGCTTAAAGGCTCCATTAAACCCTAATGGACGTTTGTCTATTGGTCAGAATGAGAGCGCATTAAGAATATTTCAAGTTTACAAGATTAGAATGCAAGATATTTCTCTATTATATCAAATTAACAGTGTCAGCTTTTGATGACGCTACATAAGAAAACTAGACTTCTATTGGGCGGGGGTTGTAAAAACTTGGCAACATATCCAAAATATTTTTTCATTAAAATTGAAGTAATAATAATCTTCTTGTCAAAATAATTTAACAAAATTATACACGAGGCTACTTCAGTAAGTAAAAGTAATGCTTGCGTTGGAGATATCTCGCTCTTACCATTTTTTTAAGTAAAATACAGTGGTTCATATTTTTTTCTACTATAAGAGTGTGTGTGTATGTGTGTGCGTGCGCGAGAAGTCAATACCGTATAATAGATTCCAGTTACCGTATAAAAGAATAAATTTCACATAAGCTTACTATAACATAACTAGGTTTTCAACGCGGTTTATCATGCTTTATACTAAAAGTATTTTTGTATAAAATAGCCTGGATACACAAACAGACACACTTTCACACTTATATTTTTTATATGAATTAAATACCTAACATAAGACTGCAAAAAGGAAAGCATTAGCTGAGCCCAAACGTATAGATGCCAAAAGCGAATTGGATGATAAGTAAATTCAAATTTTGTCTAACGAAGCGTAATAATACACAGGTAATGTAATAGAAATTTTGGTGACATCATAAGGCTGTAACAGTATGGCATTATCGTCATCGTTTTATAATATTTAATATAAAAAAAAAAT